AACAGCCAAACTTTACGAAAAGTTTTGTTTCTTCACAAATTCAAGGATTCTTGCCTAATTCTTGCCCACTCAGAACACCAATACAGGATCAAACACTTCTGCAAATACTTTTTTTCCTTAGAGCAATACCTTTGAAATCMTAAGTTCTAATCATGTCATCAGAAGGTATTCTTAATAAAGGAAAATTTTCAGGACTGGAGAAAGTGAGTAAAAAAAACCTAACTTCTTTTTCTGACAACACATTAAAATCTATGAGCAAACTGAATCTTTCCTTTGATCMAAGTACAAGGGCAATATTCTGCAGACAGCCTTGCATGTGTGGACTTGGGTGCAGTGATGTATCATTGTCCTTAAATACACTAATTTTTGTGCTAATACTTTTTAAAGTGAAATTGCACAATCCTTATGTAGAATAATTTTCCACAGGAATTGTGTTTACATAAGGAGTGTAGGATTTTGTACACAACTCCTTATCTACATAATCACCCTTAACCCCTAGAATGGAACCAAAAAGTTTGTTATSTTTTAGTATCACATGGTAAATATCATCTTGAATTCAGACTTTATGTTAAAGCTCAAGGYCCTTAAGCAGTGATATTTTGCTGTCTAGAGGATGAAGTAAAAATAACCACTCATGCCACCTTTTGTTAAGGAAAGACAATTTAATAGTAACATTTTTCTTTCCTGTTAAAAGAAAATGGTGTCTGAGGAAGTTGCTCTGCCAGGCTAATTAGACCAATCCAGGTTTTGTCAGCTTGGTTCTGTCTGCTTCCCTAAGGAGAAGCTTTCTGAAAGGATGCTTGAAGCTCCCCTCTGATAAGAAAGCTGTCTAAAAGCTGCATCCCACAACTTCCTCAGAAAAGGCAGGTGTTATTTCCCACACTGACACAACACAATGCTTTTCACAGCTCTGCTCAAATTTGTGAATATGCATGTATATAAATGCTGTAAAATCTATTGAGAAATCTTTGAAAGTGTGGAGTTCTTGAAATTGCTAGACCATGTGTCAAGTCACATTAGATCCAGCAAGATAAAGCTCATGTATCCTGTGTCACTTGATGATCTGCAGGACATTTAAGGCTGGCTTMATGGAACTCATTTTAAGGTTTGCTAGTAATGTCATACTAATCTAGTGTATGTTGGTTGGAATTCTTTCTGGTCTGTGATTATTTTAAAGTCCTAAATGTAAGGTTAATGGGGTGCTTCAAGGGTAATATCAGTGAAAGAGAGAGAACAAGGAAATGTTAGCAAGATGACTCTAGAACAAAATTGTTGTAACTCAGCAKAGTTTCCAGTATATTCCTATTTATGCTAGAATTGTTGCTGGAGCTGATGATAAGAACATTCAGTATTGTCAAATCACAATGCAGTCCAGAGACTTTCAGTAAAACCTTTCTTTARCAAAGCTGTGGAAGCTGAAGGCTTGGAATACTGAGAGGAACAATGATTCACACCACAGACCACACAACATATTGCTGAATACACAAATGCTACAGAATACAGCCATATATATATATATATGTGTGTGTGTGTGTGTGTGTGTATTTAATTTTGTGGAATGAATTGGAATATTTTGAACATTGCTCACAAAAAAACCAGAATTTTTCCATACTCATAGAAAAAGACAATACCCATAGAATATGCTCTCTCCTGTGAAGACAATGGGAARCAGAACTGTGAATTCATTGTGCTCYTCCCCCAAGTAAATCTGCAGTAATAACCATAGAATATTTTAGCAAAACAGCCAAATTATCTACCCCCCTCTTCAAGACGAGGATTTAAGCCACATTAGTCTGCTACTGATTTGACCCTACTGAGTGATGATTCTGTTTTCAACACATACTGTGAGTTTTCTGCAGCAATGAGAGAAGGAAGTTTACTGGAGGCTGATTTTCTCAGAATCAAAATGATGGTTTAAAAAAATGCTGATTGTGTTGAATTCCATCTAGTTTAGTTAGCTTTTTAGTTCAATGTGGGATTTAGCTATGAACTGGGAAAGCTCAACATGATGAACTGATGTTTGTGGAGACACACAAGTGTGTACATTTTGCTGGTTTTTTAACAAGCTTTTTGTCCTTGAAGGTAACATGCAGCTCAGTAGGAAATCTGGGTGCAGGCAGCTCCCAGGATCCAATTCACTGCTCTATGATAGTTGTTTAAAACATGTGATATGCTTCAGTATGCAATCTTTAAACAAAACATTTCTAGCTTGTGGCTGTTGCTACACAGACTGTATGCAGATAAGTCACAAATAGCTGAGCATATGTGTGGTGCAAGGTTAAAACAATAACAAGCAGGTCGAATCATTCAAACACTGGGAATCACTTTGACTCCAGGCCAAAAGCTTAGYTGGAGATGGTATCAGTATGGGATAAAAAGAGGATAAACTAACAGGCTTAGCTTGTTGGAGTCAGCATATAGTATCTATACTTCCAAGAGGAGAGCAGATGGTCATATATTTAAGGMAGCACCAGACAGGGAGTCAGAGTCAGGAGATCTGAATTCTATTCCTGGCTCTGCAGCAGCGTTCCTATGTCACCTTGGGGAGTCACTTTTTTCCCCCTTTTTTTCTTAATCTTTTAAGTAGTGGAAATAATGTTTGCTTATCTAACAAGGCAGCTGAGAGGCTAAACTGATGCTGAAAAAAACGCTCTGAAGCTCTGAGAAAAATGCATGGAAGATATGCAAAATAAACTTGTTTGGARGAAAGGACACCACCTGGTTTCATGTGGCTTGTTTGTGCCACATATTTATGACCTTTCCTCTCACCAGAAAGTCCCATGCCTTTTTGCACATAGTTTTCAAGGAGGGAATAAATGGATTAAGCTGCCTTCCACATTTGCTAGAAAGATAAGCAGCTGCCAGTAAGAACCTGACCAAAGAACAGACTTTATTACTGAGAAAGACATTATTTATGCCCAAAAGGGCAGTAGGCTTATTGAAGCTAACTGTTCATCCCAAGACATTTTTTTGCATCAGTCGTAGAATAATGCCTCTAATGGCTTTTATTCAGAATTCTGAAGTGCTGCTTGTAAGCTGAACATAAGTAGAAAATGAAGTATTGTCTTTTATGAACAAATCTTCTGCTGAAACCCGCCCCGCCAAAGTCTGTTTCTTAAATCAGAGAAATTMTTTGCACAGGACTTTCATCTAAAGCCCATTAAAATCAACTAGACTTCAAAAGAATCCAAATCAAAGGCCAGCAAGCAATTGTCATTTTTTCTGAATTCTGGGCCAATTAAGCAAATTACTCTATCTGTCTATATCTATCTATCTATCTATCTATCTATCTATCTATCTATCTATCTATCTATCTATCTATCTATCTATCATCTATCTATCATCTATCTATCTATCTATATCTATCTATCTATCTATCTATCTTCATAACTATTTGGCATCATAGGAGTGATGATGATGAAAGCCTCTGCTTTCAACATGAAGGTGTAAACTTTGGACTGGAGTTGAATTTTAGTGCTTATTTTTAGTTGTTCCACTCCTCCTTTAGACTACTTTTTTTTTTTTTTGTCCCTAGATTTTGAGTCCCTGTCGAGGAATTGAACCCTAGTTCAAAGCCAGGTCTGTTAAAAGGGCAAAAACAACACTGAAGATGTCTTAAAAACTTCTTAACAATTRGTCTATGTCGTAGCAGTAGTGGAGACAAAGGAAACAAAGGCAAAGGTTATCTGAGCAGATATTCCAAGTGTTAATATGAACTTCTAACTTGAATTTGTTTTGCTGATTCCTCACAAATGAAGCTGCATTAAATCCTGTAAACTTGACTTCTTTCAGCTCCTCTGGAAGTCATTGTGGGTTGGATGTCTACATGGAGGGAAATATTCAGCATTTTCAGGCCCAGGATGTGGAGAAGGTTGCAATAAAACAGAAAGGATCTGGTGTGATTTWTGAAAAAGAGCATATTCTCTTGCCTGCAGCCTTTTTTTGTGAGAACACACTTTTGAGCTAAGCTGTCCCTGTTTTRTACCAGGACATATCTGCTGCCTGTTTCCTTGATAATAGCCCTCAGAAAAAYGTAAGAGGACTTCACACCTTGATGTGAAGAACTTATAAATAGTCCACAATTACCTTATGCTATCATGTTCATTACATATGTACACAAACTAACTTGCTGGAGTCTCTGCACCCCAAATCTATCCAGTTTTCTTCATTAAATCACCACAAGATAGCTTTAATTCAAGAGAGAGGATGAGGGAAACMATTTTTTTCTGAAGAATTATGCTACATGTCTAACTGCAGTCTACAAATATTTACTCCTGCTATGTGAACTACAAGAAATTAAATATTTCAGATAGTAACTAGCCCACTTTTAAAAATATATATAACAAAAGCACTCTTTMTGACAGTGTAGAATTTTTAGTCTGTGGCCAGAGACTGATCTGGACCAACTGAGAGCTGGGATGAGAYCAATGAGACTCTGATGTCACAATATTTCCCTTTTACAGGAGTGTTGGYTATTCTTTCATGTCCTCTTTTAAGTTAGGTAAGTGATAGAATTGCAATTAAGAGGTCACAGAAGTGTTCCATGAAGGCACAAACACAAAAAGAAAGAAAGGATGGAGCTTGTTCTACAACTGTTTTTCTATTCTTCCCAAYCTCTGGGATTTTTATTAGCTAATCTTCATGTGTTTCCATAGATCTTGCAGGTAACACTTTCTTTAAATACTAAATTTAAATTTTAATACCAATTTTGTCACAAAACATTTTTGAAGATAGAAAGGTGACATAAAGAAAAATGTTCTTAGTTCTTAGAGTGTTTCAGTAAGAATGTTGCTAATTGTGTTTGTGTTTTGGGGTGTGGAAGAGACCTCTAACATTAAGGAACAGTAGAGCTATTTATGAGTGAAGTCAATGATTCATCAAGGGCAGGTTGCCTTCCAGGATAAGTCTAGTTKTATATTATAATTGTACCTGTGTTCAGTCCAGATCTCTCCTACTCCACTTTAGTCCTGCACTGCCAGTGCTGGGCTCTTCACACGAAGATGTGGTTTTCTCTTGGGATCATCTTTTCTCTGGGGATACTAATTCCTGGAAAATTTAGCTTGAAATTGCARTATGACAGGTGAGTGTGAACAGGGTTTCATGAAGAATTGTGCATGCAGTGAAATTCCCAGAAACTGTGTAAGAATAATAATAATAACAGTTATGAGCTGAAAAACTGGGCACAGGGTTATGAGCTGGAAGCTTTGTAAGATTGGGAAAGAAAACATAAAGATGGGAAATGAAGAATGAGTGACTCAAATCCAAGCCAACAAAGCTATGGCTACAGRAGTAGGAGCCACAGAATGGCCCTTGAATGCATCTCAGGATGCTCTGTTTCCATTAGTTGAAATTCATTTGCCTCAGCCTCTTTCATAATGAGCTTTGAAACCAGATGCTGCAGGAGTAAAATGCCTTTTCTGAGTATAAAGTAMGGGGTATGACTGAGCAAAATTGTATCTATTAATAAAATACAGATTAGATTATGTGAAAAGGATAGCCCTGTTGGAAATCTGTAACAATTACCAAAAAAAAAAAGCTAAGGGAGTTGTTTCAGACCTCTTCCCTCCAAGGTATTCAGAGAATGAGATTATCACATTTTTTTTTATTACTGATTAATGTTTTGATAAGTATGAAATATTTAGTTTGCTTTATTTCCCATTCTCAGTTCCAATTTGGGAAGTGGGTGATGTAAAATTATGCTGTTTGCCTGTCTAAACTATTTTTGTTTCATTCATCCTCAGCTTTCAAAGAATTACAGGTAACTGCCATTGTGGCAGCTGGGATTTTCAGGGTGGGCATGAGCATAGTGTGGAGGCCACCTATTCACATACAAGTTTATACAGAGAGTTTTGTAAAGTAAACAGATAAAATAGTCCAGTGCTAAGTGCCTCTAGATGAATTATATCCCTAGAATATAGCAAAAAAGGACAGAAAACCAAGCAAGACCTAGAGCAATTAAGTTCCTTCACAGAGCACCCATTCAGCAGCTCTCATGGAAAATCTCCTAGCAGAACATATAAAGTCACTACTTAAAATGTGTTATTTCCTTGGATGATATTTAGTTTTTAGATYTGTGTCAGAGATGCAGTTAGAGCCTGATTTCAGTGAAGCGAGTTCAACAGATCCTTGCTAATGTATTGYTCATTTTTGKTTTKAATTATTGTCCAGAACTGAACCTGYTGAGTMCTTGCATGGAATTTARAAACAGGTATTGAATGGTCAGTGTGACTTCAGGTGGGTAGCACCTGCACAATGACAAAATTATTAGTAAAGTCCATTTTCATTGTCATCTACTCTGTTCAACAGTGACATGAAATATCCAATTTATGAGCATCCAAGGACACACAGCTTGTGATAAGAACAATCCTTTAAATTGTTAAGAAAGCTTAAATGTAGAACTTAAAAAATGTAGTTCTTATGGGGTCACATGGGCTGACTTTKCACTTCTCCACTGAAAAACTTCATCCATAATCATAAACAAATGTGTGCTTTCTAATCTTAGTTTACTATTAAAAATTGTTTGTCTCCACAAGGGCTATTGTGAAAGGTTTATCAGTAAARAAGAGCTGGCCATCTGGCAGCAATCTGACTGTCTGGAATTTCTCTGATTTGGTGTAATTAAGACATAATGTCAATGAGGATAGAAAGATATTACAGGATATTGTTTCCCTTTCTGACAGACAAAGAACAAAGCAAGCTTAGGCATTTAGAGAGAATAAACTTTGAACTGCAGCTGAGATGTTTATTCTGCTAGCAAAGATGTTTATCCTGCATCTACAAGGTTTATTACAAAGATATCATGACTGTTGTACCAATCTGTACAACATGACTGTTCTGCCATTGCTGTGAGCAATGAAAATGTAATCACTTTGTCCCATGGATATGGGGCTATCAGAATCTCATAAACCAGTAGCAAACCTRTTTTAACTATTGAGTTCTCTGTCAGCAAAGGTGATATTTTCAAGAGAAATGTAAAAAAAACCCCACAAATCCCCCTGTTTCTCTGRGGATAAAGTGAATGAATGGTGAATTCTATTTTTATGTATATTAAGYTGATAATTGTACATTCCTGCATGGAAGCACAAAAGATGGCAATTGCAGCTCAGATGATGAGAGCATGTTATACTGATGAAAATAATGACCACGGCTTGCTTTTGCAACAAGAACTTCAGTTACAAAAGCTTTAAAATGTAAAAAGTTCATTTTTTTTGTGCTTCTGTTCTGTAAAGACTTCCAGACCCATTGAAATCACTGTGGAAAAAAGACTGTGAAGAAGTAGTTTTTGGCTACTAGCAAACAGGAAAGTTTCTAGGGCTCCCCATTCTATCTCATCAATAGTGGATAACAGCTCCATCACCTTTGAGTAATACAATGTTTTCATCAACATCCACTCCTTCCTCCAAAACCCTCTCACTATAAACATCCCTCTTGCTGTGAGTCCTGGAAAGCTAATCTGAATGAACACAAAAAAAACCCCCATAAAAATAACTACAAGGGCATTTTAATAGAACATATAGATTTGCTTTTCTAGCATTTCCATCCATTTAGATTTACTCTTTGTAAACTTTGAATATTWTCATCAGATTAAGCCTGTAGCAAATGAAAGTTTCATGGGGTCTCATGAAAATATATACTAAGACACTGAGAAGTAAAAGACAGACTGCTAAATTAACCAATGAATAATTGCCATTCATATGAGAGGCTGGCTTATGAAAATAGATAAAAAGAGCTTGTATTAGAAATAAAGTGATCATTGCTCATCATATTGGTGTCTGCATGACCCGTTTTTCCCCGTCACCAACAACTTAGTTCTATTTGCAGATAAAACATTCCACAAATTCTTAATTTAGAGGTGTTTTTGTTGAAACAGCACTGTTACATGCTCTGTCCTCCTTCTACATAATAAAATATCTCCTGTTGACTTAGGAAATCATGGATACTTTAACAGATGTTAAAACTGATTTTGTTTCTCAACCRAATATCCAGGGATCAGGTCTTGCATATTGTGCCAGAAACATTTCAGCAAGTCCAGCATCTTCAGCTTCTTTGCAGTACTTTAAAGGTAAGTAAAAATAACCCCATGTGTCCAACAAGCACAGTGGGGTCTTGGGCTACAAACCAGATAGGCATGTAGCTCAGGACAGAAATGAAGGTTAAAGGAAACTAGAAAAAGCTTTTTTTTTTTTTTTTTTTTTTTCCTTAGTGTAGTTTGAAAATGCCCTTCAACTACCTGAAGGAATTTATGTGAAGAAGTTAGTTTTTTTGCATGGGTCTGCTAAAGTGGACTTTAGCAGTGATGCCTGAGTCAATAAAAACACTAAGCCTGTGCTGTGTGCTCCATGAACAGATGACTGGAGAGTTATGGGGACAATTTGAAGGAAAATATCTTTCATTTGTTGATATGCAACTACCCTCTCTTAAACATTCTCTATCTCAAATTTTCTCATTCTGGAAACAGAGCTTCATGTGTGCATTTCTTTCTTCTCTGTACAGCTGGATTTGTGGAAGCCCCTACTGCCTGAAGATATCAAGACTGGAGAAGAGCTGCACATAAGGGTCCCAGCCCCTCTGCTGCAGCAGGTGAAAGGCAGCTTAGACCAGCATATGATGTCTTACAGGTACAGTCTCTAATACTTTGATAGGGAAGGCTGGCTCTAATAATCTCCCTTGCTATCATGGAAAGGCCAAGCCCTGTCTGATGAACAGTCAGCAAGTACTGGCGATAAAACCCAACCTTTGTTCCAAATGCCTCCACCAAACCTTAACCAGCCAAATGCACAGATACTGTATAAAGCTTTAAAGGCATATTGCCCTCTGCCCTATTTATTTACCCTCCATCTACCCTGGACTGTGAATTTGGAACATAATCTTTCTTGTTCCCTGCTCTGGCCTTCCGAGTGGTCACTGGAAKGATTGCACTTGGATATGACTCAGTTTTTTAAATCTAAATTCAAGATGCCAAACTTAGTRTAACCACTACTTATAGGAGCATGCTTTGCTCTTGGAAGGCATGGATATTTGAATGCAAGGTCCTCCCTCTTGTGGAGAGCCCAAAGGTTTAATTGGCATCACTTCAGGGAAGCAGTCTCAAGCTCTCCTTTTCCCTTCTCCATCTCTGGTTTGGAAAGGAGACTTTTCAGACTGAATATTCAGCCACTTTCATCAAAGCTTTATTTTTCTACCTGTACCCCCTTCACCAAGCTGGTGAGAATTTCCTGGCACCRTCCAGCCAAAGAGAGACATCCCAGCTTGGGACAAAGACACCAGTGGCTGGTGTCCACTGKACAGACAACTGGAAGCCACAGCCTGGAAATGTCCCACACTGCTTTATCACACCTACTCAGCCATGTCTTCCCTAACTTACAATCAGAAGATCTAATCCAGATACAAAGAGTGTTCATGAAGGCAAATGGGATTAAATAAGATCTATTCCTCACACAGTCCTGTTCCCATTTGGAACTGACTTTTTCAGGTAACCAGTAGCTGATTTARTTTAGCTGTATTTAATATAAACAATCCTGTAGTCATTCAGGGCTGATGACAAATGGCCTAGGACGTACACTGACATTACCAATGAAAGACAAGTTTAAGGAGGATTGATGTCACTTCAAAGCTGTTTCCAGTTAAAGCTGATCTTGACATCCTGCATCATGCCTGACAAATTCCTTCAGTAAGTGTGATGCCCTGACAACCAGAGATGAAGAGATATGAGGTTGGAGCCAGAACAAATTACCTAGCATGAGGTTTAGATATTCAGCACTTAGACAATGTTTTAGAAGACCTCTTTCATTTAACCTTTTATTTATGTCAAGACCCTTAATTTTCTAATGGTTTCAACTGATTCTAGTGGAAATTTAAAGACCAAACTGAAATTAGCAGCTTAACTTTGTTTTCCCTTACAGGCCAGAACTGTATCTTACACAGAGTTCTATAGAAAGATATGATAATACTACTGTATTAAYAGAGTTAATAATTAATTAGTATTATACTACTACTAATAATACTATTATTAGTAAAGATGAAAATTTTGGCTTTGCAATGCAAAGAGGCTGAGATGAGTACAACAATAACAGAGTCAAAGTTCCTATAACAGATTCAAATTAGGAACCACTGTCGCTTTTGTCTTTTGGACATTGTGGCTTTTTTTGACAGCAATACAAAATAACAGACACAAAGACACACATATACACACAGAACTAATAGCTAACAAGGGTTTTTTTATTATTGGGCAGAGGCCCTTTTATCCATTTTGCAACAAGGGTATACATTCATGTCAAACATGCATTGGTTAAGAGACAGCTGTTTAGTTACTCAGCAGTATGTGATTGGTGGGTTTGCAAAGAGCTGCAGGGTCRTTAATGTTTTCAGTTTGGCCTCCTGTGTTATCAGTTCTACATTCCATTCTCCTTTTCTCAAAGGTAGCCAAGGCTTGGGTTTTTACAGACAGCATCCTCCTTCATGCAGGCTGTTAAACCYCCCTTTAGCTTCTCAGGACTCAGTCATAAACAATTATTAGCTGAGTCTCAGAYCCAGGACTTGTAGGGCTGTAATGCCAGCTCCTGGCCTCCACAGGTCCCCTTTTTTTGTTTTTGAACCAGAAATGCTGCGTTCATGGTCCTCTCCAGGACCCTTTGCAGAAAAGACAGCAAACACAGCACCAACAATAACATTAACAATATCACAAGCAAGATGAGTCCACTGCAAAGACAGAAAATGCTTCATAAAAACTGGAATGCTAGAATCAGAARGCACCTTAAGATGATTAATTGTATACAAAGCCTTTTGTAGCCTGGCATGTGGGGGCTCTGCTGACAAACCACCATTTGGAAGACAGTTGACATACAGGGAAGGTAACATGACAGTCAGGTATACAGGGAAAGAGATATAAATGATAAATTATAAGGACATCAATATTCCAGCTGTGTCAGACTGTGTAGTTTCAATTCTCCAGAGCACTGATAAGGTATTTTGTGTGTGTGGTTTCAGTTCATGCGAATTTTCACTGCCTGAATTTTAGTTTGAAGTTTAGATATGAATGAACATCAAAGCTCTGAGTGAAAGTCAGCTGTAACTACTCTTAAAAGTTTCTTATGTGCAGTTTCCAGAAATGCCAATCAGTACCACTGCCAGCAGAAAAGCCTGTTAGCATTTGCAGCATTTGAGATCAAAAGTGTTTGAGCTACCTTTGCAATTGTCTTATCACAAGCATTTACAATAAGCATAGAATTTGCAGCACTGACAAGGGGCTGATTGCAGTGAGAAAGAACAGCCTCTGATCCAAAGTCCASTGAAGCCAAGRGAAAGRTTTTATTGACTCYCTGGAYCATGGAATCATGCCTGTGTTATACYAGTTTCTGAGATATTCATGTAGCTAAAGARMAAAAWGCTATTTGACAAAATTAAGGGKTTTTTTTCTGATTTTTGCAAATTGYGATGATTATTTCTGTGAGATCTTTGCAAATTGAAAATGTCTCAATGAAATAAAATTAAGCCCTAATCTTTAATTTATCTCTTTCCCTTCCTTTTCCCAAAAGGGCGTATTTTCAGAGTTTTGCTCAAAAAAAGTGGTGAAGAAGAGAAAATCTAGAACTTTTATTTCTTGATAGAAAATGAACAGCTTTAAAAAATCTTGTAAAAAMTATTACTTTATTGTCAAAACCCTGTAAAATCTCTGTACTTTGAACTTTGTCTTACATAAGAGTAACCATAATGACAATGGTGATGATTTTRCCAGGCAGTTCACAACAGAAGAGGTTAAATCCTTTCATTTGCTGATGCAAGCAATGCACCCACCATGGTAATTCTGCAGTAAATGTTCAGGATTGTTTTCTCCTCCATCTTTCCTTTCCCCTCCCATCAGAGTCCTAATACCTGATGTGCAAAAACTCGTGGATCAGAGCTTGCCAAGGGAGAGGAGCCACCACAGACAGGTCTCAGGAGGTTACATCTACACTGAATATCATCCCATGGAAGAGGTAAGTTCTAAAAGAAGAACCTAAGTCTGCTTTTGYTCTTTGTTGTTTCCTGTTCTGTAAATGCCACAGCAGGCAACTCTGTGATTGCAGAAARCTCAGCTGAAGTCAGTGGATCTCTTTCTTTGAAGAATCAGTCCTTAYTCTTTGACTAGAATCTTAGCTTGGATGACTTGAATATGAATTTGCCATTGATTTTTATTAAATCCTCGGTTTTTCACTGACCAAAACCTAAATGCTCCATGTGAAGCAGTATCTGCACATTGTTTTGCAGATAATATTGTGTGGTTCAGTTGATTGGTTTGCYTGCTTTTCTACCCTGTCATTCTTAATCTCTAGTATTTACTCATTGTTTAGATCCAGGTTCTGAGGCAAATGTCAGGTGCAATGACTATTGTGGAATCCCAGTGAGGAAGAAGAGGTGAACAGTGGGAGATCTGTAGAAASAATTTAAGGGCAGGTTTTTGACACYAGGCAAAAATAGTGTCACAGGGGTGGGCAGTGACCACTTCTTGGTGTCATGTTTCATGGACCAGTTGGCAGGCCTGGACAAAAGCAGAGAATGGTGATAATTCTTTCTCCTAGCTGCATAATAAAAGTGAGAGACAGAGTCAGTCCTCATGTATGTTTTGTTTGAGCTRCCCATTGAGGATGACTGCTGCTGACTCAGATGTGGAAAATCAGTGCTGATAGGGAAGAGACTGTAATACTGTTKTGAAGATTTGATGGTGTGTTTTCATGTCTGGTAGATGCCCAATAGAATGGGCATGTTAAATGAGATCCAGAATGGAGTGTCCCTGTTGTACTGCAGTGATGTTCTCTTTTAACACCCAATGAGATTTGACCTTTGCCCAGAGGTGAAACACCTTCCATGACTGCAGGTGACATCACAGACTTTAATAAACTCTGAGGAAAATGTTGCTTATCTAAACAAAAGAAAACGCTTTACTCTGGAAATGGAGGTAGCAAAGAGAAGGAAACCCCCACTTTGGACCAAGAATTCTTTGCAACTATTTCAGATTTATGAATGGATGACTCAGATCCAGAACAACAACAGTGAGATGGTGACTCAGCACATCCTGGGGATGACATTTGAGAACCGACCAATGTATTATCTAAAGGTAAGGAAGGAACTTTCCCTTAATAATAAAACATATCTTACTGAAGAAAGAAAACTACTTAGGAGAAGACAGGATTCAGATGTTTCCTTAGATAGCATTCATTCCAATCTACTGAAATAACAGAAGATGGTTTTACTCCTCTACAGGTTTGCCAACTTTCATATATGCTATCATCATGAAGTTGCTATTGCTATTATGTAGTGAACACAAGTTTAACTGAAGTTTTGTTTCAAAATGAAAATCAAGCTGAAACTAGCTTGGCAACAGCTCTGTGTGAGGATAAAGACTTCTGTTTTGTTTTTTTTTAGTACTTTTCACAGGAGATAGCCTTTCTGCTAGAAGTATTCCATGACATTTTTTATTGAACATGCCAATAAAAACCACAGTCTTAATATTTGAGTCAGTTATTGCCTAATCTCTTCCTATCATTGAATAGTATTAGATTCTCTGTCTTTTTGGGTTTCCCCTTCTAAAAAAAAATTACAGAATCTTCATCTAAGAACAACCACTCCTGTGAATGACTAACACAAATGAAAAATKAAAAAAAAGAAACTGTTCTGTTGACACTCCTTCTCAACAGACACTTTAAAGCTCATGCCTTGTGATACAACAGAGAAGGGATTATTAGGAAAAAAAGCTTGTCATAAAGGTGTCTGTAATTAATATTATTATTATTATTAATAATAATAATAATAATAATAATAGTCTCAGATGGTTCAATGGTATATCAAGGCACATCCTTTACTTTCAGTATCACATCAAGCTGTTTTATTGTAATGTAACCATTTTTAAATTATCATTTTTACGTTCTCTCAGATCAGTCAACCRTCAAATAAACCCAAAAAGATAATTTGGATGGACTGTGGGATTCATGCCAGAGAATGGATCTCTCCAGCCTTCTGTCAGTGGTTTGTGAAAGAAGTGAGTYCTTAATCTTCCATTTAGATAATAAGAGAAATGTATCACACTTCGGCTCTCTTCCCTATTGTGGGACAAAGAATTATGCTTTTCTGTTACAATGTGATTTGCAAAATTAGCATATAATACAAATATCTGTGGAGACCAAAGTCCAAATCACATTTTGAGATATGGGATGATGATTTTAAACTTGCTCTTTGCAGTGATTACCACTAAATTCTCTGCTCATTGTTCTTTATTTTTTCCTTTTCAGATTCTTCAGAATTATAAATCTGACCCAAAGATTAGCAGATTTCTGCAGAATTTGGACCTCTATGTCTTGCCAGTCCTCAATGTTGATGGCTACTTGTATTCCTGGAAAAAAGTAAGTAGTGAAAATCCAGGAACTAGACTGAAAGATGTGCCCAGCATGTTTTGCTACTTTTAGATAGAGTCAYAGCAATTATACTTAAAAAGGAAACAGTGACAATACTCACATAAATTGTCTTGTGGCAGTGAGATTATCACCCTTGCACATAGAGTTGTATTCAACTTAGGGTTGGTTAGAATGCAGAGGTCTAAAATAAAGGAGTCTTTACACCATATTATCACTGGATCATATGGATCATTGAGGTTTTTTTTTATGTAACAGAAATTTTCTTTAGGATCGTTTGTGGAGGAAAAACCGTTCTCCATTTGAAAATGGCACCTGTTATGGCATAGATCTGAATCGAAACTTCAATGCATCCTGGGGCAGTAAGTTTGAAGTGTTTTAGACCATTAACACAAATGGAAAGCAAGAGTAATAACTAGTTTCTGAAATAAAATGTAGTCGTATAAGAGAGGAATATTCATCTTGTYGTCATCAAGGCATGTGTAAAAATAAAATCCTGGTTTGTCAAAATACTAACACATTGACTTTCAACCAGTATTTATTTCTGTGAGCAGAACAATTTCTCTTATGTAACCATACCTCTAATGCACTGCAGGAGCAAGCAACAGCTCTAGGCATGAATATTAGGAGTAAGTCACTTAACAGGCAGTATTTACATTTGCCATGAATTTCAAGGAGCATTCAAAACTTTCCTGGCTTCTGGTACATAGTGGTGATGTCACACTGTTTTTGTTGCAGCCATCCTGTAAATGTGCTATAAATRTTTTGATCTTGTAGCAAATTTTAGTTGCTACCAATTGAGTATAATGCTAAAGTCCTACTGAGCAGTCTAGCCCCCAGCCCACATAAACACATGCCTTAACACTCTGAGGTAAATATCCCAGTTCCCTTTGAACTGATGTTTTATATTCCTCCTTTGATTCAGTGTTTGTGTTCCTCTCCAGCTATTGGAGCATCTTTTAATTGCAGCAGTGATGTCTTCTGTGGACACAGACCAGAAGAAGCACCTGAATCAAGTGCCGTGGCTCAGTTTATCAGAAGCAAGAAGAGTGACATTTTGTGTTATTTAACAATTCACTCCTATGGACAGCTCATCCTCATTCCATATGGTTTCACAACTAAACCACCAAATGAAGAACTGGTAGGGCCAAACATTCATCTTCTACATTTGTAGAGTGCAAGTATAGGCAGTAGCACGTGGTGCAACTTTACTCACCCTCTTGCCTTTCCTTCAGAGGAGCTGGGCTTATTCAGGGATTTGGCTCCCAGAATTACTGCTTCTCTGTTCAGCATCAGTAAGGTTTATTTGCCTCAGAAATCCTAATTCTTCATCTTAAATCAGGAAAATTGAACTATTACAGATAGGGTTAATGCAATGAAAGGTAAGCGGAGAAGAGGATCAACTTTTGCTGCATGCAAGAATGAATTTTCACTTTATGATGCCAGCACATTATACACATATGGTTATCATGATTATGTCTAGAAAGGATATTGCAAWCACACTCTTGGAAAAATGTGAGCAAAGTAATCACCTATTCCTTGGTTACTTCTTCCTTCATTTCCTGAATGTTCTGATTCACTCACATGTGTATTAATGAAGATYCAGGTAGCTGAAGCACTAGTCAAGAGCATGAGGGATTTCATATTAGTTATTGTAGAAGTCCTTCATTTAATCTATGGCTCAATTTCCAAAGATCACCTGATATGGGGTCTATGGCAATAAAAAGAGGTCARTCACTGGTGTAGTTAGTACCAGTGTGTTATACAGCATAGACCCTTAATTCTCCAAAATACAGGCTCTAGCTTTACAATAAAGCAAATAGCATCTCTGCCTACTAGCAGAGTATTTTTAAAAAAATTTAATACAAATTTCATTTGAAAAAAAATTGTCCAAATTTTTCTGATGGGTTCCTCTAAAGACCCGGAGTAATATCAAAACTTAAAGGTGATCATATGTAAATGTAAAGCTGAAAGAGATTAAAATTTTGATCCACTCAAAATAATTGCCAAACATACTGCCACTGAYGACAATGCTGTTCCTATTTTGTATTTCCAGATGCAAGTTGCAGAGGAAGCAGCTGCTGCATTGGCAGGAAAGTATGGGACCAACTATAAAGTAGGAGTACCTTCTTCAGTACTGTGTAAGTTTTTTCCCTTTGATTGCTCTGTTTTTCAAAGAACTCCTGTGTCACAGGCATAAGCAAGTACTGTTTTGCTGAGTTTCTAGTYTGAGTAATATTTAAAGGGCTGGTTTGGTGGAACATGTAAGCTGCAGTCATTTGAATACAAGATAACTCTAAGTTACAAAGCTGACTACAGGAATGAATGAAGCATTGATCAGAAGCTAGTTCCTACATGGATTCCTCACAGATACATCACAGGGAGATTGGTGATAGATCATCCTGACCCTGCTGAAGTCAGCAGCAAAACTCCCATTTRTCTTCACTGGAATCAAGCAAAAATTAAAATCCCAATCAGGTCTAGAGTTATTCCATCAGACATGATCACATGGCAGCTGCTTGCAATTTTCTGTGAAATATATTGGTTTCAGCCCTATTCCTAACACACTGGATGGCCACATCATGAACACATCACAGCTAATATGAGTTGACAGCTTTTACAAAGAGGATTGAGGGCCCTAGAGAGTGCCTAGTAAACCCAATATTTTCCCAGTAAGCAATAAGTCACGCTAGTCAGTGAGAACAGTGAGTAGTTGGCTCCCAAACCCATATGGTTTGCATATTCCAGTGGCTGTCTCTGGCAGGCCCTGAGTGCCAGTCTCTGAGTCACAGACTGCAGAAGCAACACAGGGTCAGTGTAAGGCAACTTGCCCAAAATGCCTGGGACCACATTTTGCCAAGGTCTGTATTTCTACAGAATAGGTAAGAAAAAAGATCCGTGGGTAAAAGGAACAGAGGTACAGGGAGCAGCCAGAAATGTTCCCAGTTTGACCAAAATTATGCTTAAAAATAAATATAAAAAGAAATTCTAGTCAATATCAATGTAGGAAATAAAGTRCAAGAACAGACAAATATGCAATCCATCTTGTACCCTACACTAATAACAGAAAAATGATAAAAACACAGAATCCCTGAAACTCATCTCCTGTTACTCTACAATGCCCTCTTATGAAGAACTATGTCACTTAGAAAACTCCATGGAAGACTTTTAATATAGTTAAGAATTACAGCACCTAGAAACTCTGTTCTCTGTGTCACAGTGATATATGATTACTGCTTAGTTCAGGGATTCTGGTGTAAACTTGCATTAACTGTAGCAAGAAGTATTTTCAAAGAACCATGCTTAACACAAATATCTCCCCCCTATTTTTAAATTCACAGATAGTAACTCAGGCTCCTCACGGGACTGGGCCCACATGATTGGCATTCCTTTCTCCTTCACATTTGAACTACGAGACACGGGTACTCATGGTTTTCTTCTCCCCACTGACCAAATCCAGCCCACATGTGAGGAGACCATGCTGGCTGTGACAACTATCATAGACTATGTTGATAAGAAGTATTTCCCAGGTGGGGCTGTGATGCTGACCTCCAGCAGCCTAGGCCTGACCCTTTGCCTGAGTATTGTATTTACATGGATGGTTTCTTAAAAACAGCTTAGAGAACCCAGCAATGAATAAAATGCAAATATAATGTCCCCTGGTAAACAAAAAAAAAAATAATTATATGAGCAAAGGAACTCAATGTCAAGTATTTCAATAAAGGTTAATGCCATAAAATAAAAGCACTTGTGGTTTTGATAGCTATGTTTTTGGGAAGAAGGAAAAGATGAAAGGCTGTGGCAATTTCCCAAGCTTCACTTGCTGGCTCTGTTTAAGTGACTTAAGACTTTTATTCATAACAAGTACCCATGAGGACAGAGCACTATTACTCCCTGGTTCTCTGGAGCATGTTTTCAGGGCTCCCCATGGTCTATACAGCTCTTCCATCAGCTGTAGTCCAGCTCTGTCACAATTTTCCCTAGTGCCTGAATCTGCAGGCTTTTGTGTGTTGCTGGCCTTAGTAGGATGCCTSTGAGACTGAAAAGTCCTGAAATCCCACCATCGAAATTTGGGGCTTCCTAGACATCCGCTTTTCTTCCCTAAACTGCCACATTGGGATTTGCTAGAAAATAAAAGGAAGCTGGTGAAAGGTCATGATSAGGAAACCATCACCTGCAGCCTGAAACAAACTGAAGAGCTGAACTGSTGCAAGCCTATGAGGACAGGGAAGAGCTGTGGTCCTGCCACTTAGATGCAGTCAGATTACTGAAGATAAAATCCTCCAAAAATTCAAAAGGGAAAGGGAAAAGAAAGWTAAGTATGGGGTGCTATTCCTACAGAGCAGACTAGTGAATGATGTCTTTGCATCTCAAGCTTCCGAAACTGTGACTGGTGGTGACACTTGTCCTCCTTAAGCCAGACTCCTAAGAGATTTCATGACAGATTGTACATAAAGGAAATGTATTTACTAAGGGGTTCCTTTCCTACCAASCACCCTAATCCTTTAGGGCTGAGTGCACAGAAGGACTGGGGCCCAGTTGTCTGCTCTGCATCACTTGGGCAGGTATGCAACCTTCTGGGATCTGCCTGGGATCTTCATGAAAAGCTCAGTAGAGTGCCAGAGGAAAGGAAACATTTCAGCCCWCTGAACAGGGACCCTCCAATGGAGCCACTTGACAGGGAATGCCAAAAGCCTCTGTGTTGTTACAGCAACACCAGAGGGTGCAGGGCATTCACTGAAATAGAGAATGCCYACTTTAACCTGTGCTCTGCTTTTGAATCCAGGAGTCCCACATCCCAGAAATACATCCACCAGGCTTGGCGACTACAGATAACAGATGGGGGGCTTTGCCCTGATAGAAAATGAAGAATCGAGGGAATTGGGAAGGGGGGGGCGGGGGGAGTATGAAATGTCTGATTTTCTTAGYAAATGTCAAATTGTGCTCAAAAATTGAAACCACAGGTTTTTCAACAAAGTATTTACAACTTTGGGGATGAGCATGTTACCCAGTTCTTTTTCAATGTTGCCAAGAGAAGGATGTGTATGATTTCATCATGGTACCATTATAAAATAAAAAAAAAAAAAGAAGAAACAACCTTGCAGTCAATTTTCCAAAGCACATCCTATTGTCAAATGGACGAATCTTAACTTCTGTGTTCATTGTCCATAAATAATTACCAATTGGTGTAACTAAATCTGCCTAACACCTGCAGTTCCCCAGAGCATTGAAGCACTCATTCACAGTAAGAGCCGTCTGTTGCTGGGCTCTGGAGCTGGTGCCACTAATTTGCACCTCTCCCCACAGAAACTTCATTCCCTACACTTACATTTGCTTTAGGATGCTACTTGTAAATCTTTTTATTTGTATTTGTGTATTCTGTCTTTGGAACTGCAAGAAACAAGACAAGTCCAAGTGGCCCATGACTGTGAGCTGTTTTTATGCGAGTGGGGTTTGCCCACAAATGTTCTGTAACCATTTCTTCTGCTGAGAAGCTGCAGAGAAGCTCCCCAGTGTCACCAGCAGCAGATGGCAGAGCCCTCTGGGAACCAATGCCCACATGCTGGCCTTGCCAAAGCCAGCCCAAGCTGGGCTCCCCCCAATTTCCAAACCTAATCCATGACTACACTGGTAGAAAAAYACTGCCAGTGAGGGCTGCTTTATTGGATTCAGAGACATTGCACAACTTCTATGCCTAGAGYCAGAGAGGAGGGGAGCTGGTTTTGCTGAATGTATCTTTTGATATGTTTATCACTACAAGATACAACCAGGTTCATCCTAAAGTTAATTAGCAAGTTTATGTGGAATGGCTCTGTCCCTCCCTAGATCTTCTTTATGTAATAACATGCATCAGGCATGGGAAGATATCCCTGCACATGGCACCAAGGCAAGAGGATTAGGTTTGGGGGATTTTGCCTCCAGTATTGCCAACATTCAAGAATCATAGAAGTGGAGAGAAGCCTTTGCCAGAAAAAAACACCCCAGATATTTGGCAATAATCATYACTTAGAAGAATGTCTGTTGCTGTCAGCACACTGATTATGCCTGGGTGTGCAGCTCCTTGGATCTGTCAGCAATCGCTCACCCACTTTGGATAGGGAAATTACAAATGTTGAGTGGAAGCAGCACCTTGTCCCCATTGTCACTGCAGAACAGACCTCCTGTGARGGGTGCTTACACCTCTCTTAGGAAYTASCATWGCACAAGAAAGCTGCAACCACTAAAAGGCCAAAGCTGCAGCAAACCGATCTTCACAAATTTTACATGGGCTCTATATTTCATATCCCCTTCCAGTTTGCTGACTTCTCTGTGTATCTTTTTTTTGAGCTTGTAAAAGAGTAATATGTATGGCTGACAAAAATCATAGCAAAGAGGGTGCATTTTACCAACCATGTTTTTCAAATGAAAACTTTAAAGAAAAGTGTAGTGTGGATATCTCTGCTGAAGCTCCCCTTACTYCATGAGTCCCAGCTTTCTCTCTCCTGCATTTCTTTGTTGTTTTCTCTGGCCCTTGACAGTTTTGCTTTATGGTGAAGCATGGAAAGAGCTACATTTTGTCTCTTGCATGTTAGTGGAAACACAGCATTATCTTATTGAGACTATAGTGTGACTTTTGAATCACTCATGTAAACACATGCAAAACAAAAAGTTTTCGTGAAAAACTGTAAGATTCTTCTATTCCTTGTCATTTTTCCCCAATAATTTTACCAAGACCCATGCTCCTTCCCTTTCTTTCTCAGTTAAACACCTGAATTTTGCTTGCTTTATTATATAATCAGTASTGTGAAGGTTTAATTACTTTTGGTTATTCAGGTTATTGGAAAAACCTAGGGCATCCAAGTTCTGAGTAAGTGTTCTATATTATCCTAACATTTCATCTGTAGTACAAAAATAAAGATTGACAAAAGGACCATCAGTGATCTCATTCCATTTCACACAAGGAGCTCCTCTCTCTGCTAATTTTTCCTTCATGCTATGTTAATTTGATACAGTCCTCAGGCTCCTAACAATTTAGCAACACTTCCCTCATTAAGGAAAGTGAATATATCACAAGGGAACTGTAATATTAAATGAATGTGTGTAGCCTCATTTCTTACAGCATCACATGATGGAAGAGCAAAAACCTAAAGTTTTGAGGGGACTACAGAAAACACCTCTGGCAGATCACCTTCTGGGAAAGCATTTGCAATTCAAATTGTTACTTCCTGATAAGCTGCTTATGCCCCAAATATCATTCTCTGGTGCAGATTCTATTCCAAGCAAAAAACTCTCAGACTTGAATATCTTACACTGTGTATGAAAATTGGGAGGAGTCTTAACCAGGACAAACCTGCTCAGAAACAAAGAAGAATGTTCTCAGTGTGTTACAGACAATTTTTCAAACATAGTGTGGGAATCACTTCAGACAGAAAGGTCAGGCTCTGGATGAAAATCAAAGTATCCTGAGCTGGTTTTGGGCTCCCTTTAGTCAACAAGCTGTAGGTACACATGTCCTGATAAGCTTTATCTTATTCCCTGTGTCTTCTGTAGGCTTCATCTAGAGCTGGGTTTCCTTGACAAGCTGGGATGTCCAGTTGTACCATACACAAAAAACACAGCAGAACTCATTGCTTTATTAAGACATTCTATTCTAACAATTTCCTTCCTCATAAATGGCTGGCCAAGGCTGCTTTGTTTTCATTACCACTAAACTGAGAGGGGACAAATAATAAAACAAAATTACCAGGGATTATGGTTGGGCATCAGGATTAGTAAAATTGGGTACTTTTAATGAAGATCTTGTCTAGAGTGCATTYTATATTTCTTGTATCTGTCTTCCAACAAATCTGTATGAGCCTTGTTGGTATAAAATATAAAGGAATAATTTGAAAACAACCTGTCATCACTTGCTCCTGTCTGCCAARTCTCACGGGGTCTGTTTATGTGCATGGGAGGCATTCATAAAACCCGCTTCTTTTCTGCAACCTGGCAAAAAATATAAATGCACTATTCAGAAGTGCCAAGAGGAAAGAGCAAATGCAATGTCATCATCACACCTTTTAATTCACCTCAGTACTCTGACCTAAAGAACATCCCATCACAGCTGCACTCTGTTGTGTGGGAATGCCTCAAATGAAGGCAATTTTGGGAGAGATGGTTAGGATTGCATAGGATCAACTGCAATGGAAAATCCCTGGAAGAGGGAAAGCATTTGCAAAAATGTTCATTTATTGTGCTGACAAAGATGTATGCAGGCTTTAGCAGWGGGAAAGAGGAAATGGAGAGGTTACAGATGGACTAATCATGACATTTTTCTAGGTTTAGCTTCTTTGGCATRAGTGTCCAGAAAAGACAGCCCTTCTTTTTAAAATACAAACTCTTCCTGTTCTCAAACACCCACCCAGCTTTACCTGGGAGAGTTCTGAGGAGGAAAAGGATTACTGATGAATGTTACTTAGCTCTGATTAGTGAGGCATAGGGCAGAGGAAGGATAAAATTAATGAGGGAGATACTGAGCACACACAATAACAAGACAGCAAGGAATAYGAGTAGGCAACACACTCTGTGATAATTAGGTGTAAAGTCTATTTGCCAGAGACATATAACAGAAGTTCCCATCCTGAGATTGCA